AATCTCGTCCCTTTTAAATAGATCCAACGTTCTCTCTTCTTGCACTAGTGATCGTCTCGTATTCTGACTGTCACTGGGGTTCTTTGACGATCTGTTTACATAAACCCGCTTCATCCTTGTCCTCTTTTCTCGTCCTCCTCTCTCTTTCCCCCCTCTCTCCTCTCTCGCTCCTCTCGCTCTAGGTCAACCGGTGTGCTCGTCTGTCTCGGATCGCCTCGAGCTCGTCCAGCACGCCAACACGTCAATATCTGCCTTTTGCTTTTCCTCTGGCCGCTTTGTCTCCTTCGGCGCGCGTCAAAGCAGTGCAGCGAGAGAGTCTGCATTGGAATTGAGACGTTTGTACGTTGATCTGCTTTTCTCTATTTCACGCCTGCCTTCGAATGGCAGCGTCTCCAGATCTATCTGAACTGACCGTCTCCCCTTCCTCAGCCCAAGTGCCCCTCATCGCTCGCATCGACTACGTATTGGACTATAGTACTTGGGGGGGGCTTTCACGACATCCCCAACCACCTGACTCGCTCGTCCCTCGCATCTGATAACGGATCCCTGGATATATAAATATATAATAATCTATATTATATATACATATACACACAGACACCACATTCAAGGCGGTGTCAGTCTTCTTTCTTCGAATCCAACCCTCCGTCTCTTTTCGCCCTCTTAGAGTCAACTCAAATCAATCGGGCTTTCGGCAGATCCCGAGAGCGGGCAAAGATTTGGGATTAGGCATCTCGCACCACACGCCTGCTCATCACACAAACGACACACACGCCACGAACGCCGCAAGGGTCGCAACAGATCACGTTCGAGGAGTCAGATTGGTTATATTCCTAGTCTCTTTCGGACAGCTTGGCATCCTCCCCTTTTTTTCTTTTTCACATCGCAAATCTCATTCTAAACGGGATCGAACGCTTGTTTTTTTTCTGACACGAGAACAAGGGGAAATCGCTACGAAACGGAAAAGGGGTAACAAAAACCAAGGAGGCGGAAACACAGTTGCAATCTCTATATTGTGCGGTCACGGACAAAGCCAGCTAACTTTAAAGGCGCCCGCTCGTGACGTCTCTGCTATCCCCCCTCACATCCATCTCCTTTATTTTTTTTTGCTCGCTCAACTTCTTTTTGATCTCGCGCATTGTCCGGCTCCTTACCGTAAAGGAAAGCACCCTCCCTTTCATCTCCAAACTTGTCACAAATTTTTGTTCTGGTGTCCTACTCCCTCGTGCGCCTCCCCCACCTCCCCTGACCTATTGCTTTACGGTTTCATTTTGGGCTACTCGATTGCCATCATTCGTCTATATCTCCGCCCACCAACACACGCCCCTTCTTACGCAAAAGGACAACCAAACGATCGACGGCCATTCGTAACTGGGACTTCTATTTGGGAAACGGTGCCTTTGTTCATAAACCTCACCCCTATATAATCACGGTGCAGGCGGCCAGCGGAATCCAAGGCGCCTCGTCCAAAAGACTTTTTCCCTAATCAGCTTTCTCCAGCCTTTTGGCCTTGTGCTCTCTCCCCCCCCTCTCTATTCAAATTCACCACCCACTCTTAGCCTAGCCGCCGCCCGACGAACCAGATTCACAGACCAATCTCATTTCTCCCCTCCTTTTCCCTGTCTCGCGATCGCCCGTGGGTGTCAGCTCTTCTTTGGTTAGACCCACCCCCTCTTCCCCCTTTGTCATCCCTAGTACATCGCGGACATTGCATTGGAGAGGACATTGGGAGACATGGAGCCGAATAATGAACACACGAGATCGTCCATGGCCACGGAACAGCCAGACATCAGCGCTAAGGCGACAGCTTCCAGTGGCGACAGGGCTGCGACTTCTGGTC